TGTGGTAAGGGAGGAATGAGTACAGGAATCATTTTGGTGTTGGAGTGGCATTGAATTTTGGGACAATTACACACATATGGAGATACAGCAGTCAGCCCCTAAATTGTCTTAATATTGCAAACAAAGAACAAGTCGATCAAAAACTTGAAAATATATAGATAAAAAAGTAAACCCCTGGAAATATGTTCAATATGATAATTACACACTAAGGAAATGAAAGTTAAACGACAATGAAATTTCACTCTATACCTAAAGAATAGCCAGTATAAAATACAGTAACAATCCCAAATGTTGGGAAGAAGGTGGAGAATCTTTCATTCTTCATCTATACCTATATGTTCATTGCAGCACTGTTCACAATGTCCAAAATCTGGAAACAACACAAGTGCCCTAGAACAGATGACTGGTTAAAGAAACTTTAGTACATATACACAATGAAATACTATGCAGCAGTCAGGAGAGATGAAGTCATGAACTTTGCTTATAAATGGATAGGCATGGAGAGTATCATGCTAAGTGAAATGAGTCAGAAAGAGAGGGACAGACATAGAAGGACTGCACTCATTTGTGGAGTATGAAACAACATAACATGAGGCTGACACCTAAGGATAGTAGATATATGGGACAGATAGATTGCTCCATAGCTGGAAGCCTGCCTCATGAGCAAAGGGGAGAAGGCAGCTGGAATAGAGAAGGGATCACCAAGAAAAAGAGGGCTGGAGGAGCAATACCACTCCTGGGAATATATCCCAGAGGGGCAAAAAAGTATAGTCAAAGTGACATCTGCACTTGTTTGTTCATTGCAGCACTCTTTACAATAGCCAGAATCTGGAAAAAACCTGAGTGTCCAAGAACAGATGACTGGTTAAAGAAACTTTGGTATATCTACACAATGGAGTACTATGTTGCTGTTAGAAAAGATGAAGTCATGAAATTTGCATGCAAGTGGTACTACATGGAAAGTATCATGTTAAACGAAATGAATCAGAAAGAGAGGGATAGACATAGAAAGATTGCATTCATCTTGGGAACATAAAGTAACAAAATAGGAGACTAACATCCAAGAGTGGCTGAGATTAGTACCAGGAAGTTTGCTCCATGACTTGGAGGCCAGCCACAGGTGCTAGAGGAAAAGGCAGCTCAGATAGAAAAGGGAGCACCAAATAAAGGGGGTTGGGAGGATCCTCACAGGGTGGAAGAAGCATGCTGAAAGTAGACTATAGACCGAACATGATTGCCACTCAGTGCCTCTTTTGCAAACCACAATACCCAAAAGGAGAGAGAGAACAAAAGGGAATGCCCTGAAACAGAGGCGGGGTGGGATGGGGGGGGGATGGAGGGTGGGAGGGATACTGGGACCCATGGTGGTGGGATGGGTATTTGATCATTGCATAATTGAAATCCAAGCACAAAAATGTGTAAGTCTACAACTGTACCTCATGGTGTTTCACTAATAGAAATTTAAAAAAAAATAAAAGATGGCTGGAGGAATCGGTTGGGATGGGAGATGTGTGCAGAAAGTAGATAAAGGACCAAACATGATAGCCTGTCATGCCCAAAATAGAGAGATTTTGGGGAATAGTGTCTGCCATGGAGGCAGGGGGAAGGTGGGAAAGGGGGTGTATACCGGGGATATTGGGGGTGGGGAATGTTTACTGGTGGAGGGATGGGTGTTTGATCATTGTGTAATTGTAACCCAAACATGAGAGTTTGCAACTATCTCAAGAAAAAAGAAAAAGAATCTGTCATTCTTACCTTGCTGATAAGGATGCAAAAATCTATAGCTTTGAAAGCCCAGGGAAGGCTCTTGTAGTTTCTTAGAAAGAAAACATCTAACCCTGGCAAGACTGAAGTTATAGTACAATGGGGAGAGCGTTTGCCTTGCAAGTAGCCAACCAGGTTCAATTTCCAGCACCTGAGCACCACAGAGGTGACCCCAAGCATGAAGCCAAGCCAGCAGTAGCCCCAGAACTCTGCCAGGCATAACCCCAAAAGAAGGCAAAAATAGCACACTGCCTTAGCACAGTGTATTTCAAGTTACAATTGCTCTTTAATGTATTCTTTGCTGTTCATATAGCTTCAAGTAATAGAACTATTATTTTAATTTTTATTTCTAGTATTTTAAAATAGCTAAGTGAATTTGGCAATTTTATAATTTGGCAATTTTTTAATGTGTATATATATACAGTTCTTGCCACTAAATCTCAGTATCAGAAGAACTGTTTTTGTTAAATTGTTGTTTAGATTATATAAACTATTAATTATTGTTCAGCCATAATGTATTGTCATTCAGATGTATACATATACATACCTTAATCTTGTAAGTGTTTACTAAAATTCTAAATCTACCTCTTTATCAGTGTATATCCCATAAATGTATGACAAAGATAAATTAATAAGTTTCTCCCCCTCCAGCTGTGTAAAATTAAGGTTCCTATAAAACATTTTGTTAGCTGAAATGACATAATGCAAATATACAATTACCATGAATTCATATGAAAAAAAAAAGCCATCCTCTGATACTCCAAGACACAAAAATAACCTACCAAATCACAGTAAAAGTCCACTAAACCTAAAATAAAATGAAACAATACAAAAGAAGTACAGAGTGAAACTAGGACTGGTATGATAAATATAACATTTAGACAAAGTTGTTTCTGGGGAAGCCTTGTAGGAAGTGTTCCAGCTGCTCAGAGTATGGGCCACTTCTTTAAAGGCTGCTGCAAAACAACACCGACTTTATTTATTTATTTATTTAGTTATTTATTTATTGCTTGCTTGTTCTCATAAAATTGAAAATCCACTTCAGAGTTTTTTCAGTTAACAAGCTAGGTGCTAAACTAAGTTTTTACTAGAACAGAAACAATCTTAATATTCTCCATCACTTCAGGAAATATAACATTTTCCTATTTTCCTTCCTCCTCTTCCTCCATCTACTATCTCTGTACCTTATTGCTTCACCTCCCTTCCCTTTTTTTCCTTCTTCTCCCCCTCTTTTATTAAAAAAAAATTGATCTGTTCCAACATAATCTTTTATTGTTTTCCAAACTATCTAGAACGCCCAGCAAAGTACTGTTCAATCATTCTCTCTTGGATTTTTTTCCATTCACTAATTTTACATTCATCACAAGTGGAAATATGTCCACCTCATTTGAGTTATTTTTTTAATAAAATTAGATTGAAAACTGTTTTCAGTCAATACACCATCTAGCTTGCAGAATTGACAAGAAACAACTCATATTCTTATCCTTTAGAGGTTCATGCATACTATTATTTCCTTTGTTTTTCTTTTTTCTAAGTATTGGGTACTTATTTATTGTATAAATTCTTATGCCTGCATAATAAGTCATAAATATTTAAATATACTGTGACTACTAGCCTTATATTTTCTCAAATTTTTCAGTAAAACAAACTCTTCTCTTTGACTATATATCATCTAACTACATAACATGAAAAGGAAAATTTTTCAATGACAAGAATCCCTCTAAAATTTACCAATATTATCATACCTTTGCCTGATCTGTAGCTTCTTAAAGAATAGTTGTAGCAAGATTATAATCACCAAAATTGGTAAGCTTCTGAGCTACCATAGACACTTCAGCCTCAGTCTATGAGAAACCTCTTGATCCATGGGCATCCATCCACAAAATCTGCTACCTTCAGTTATTAAACTTTTTAATTCAATAAATAACCTTGGATTAATAAACATAGGCCCTACAAGTGTGAATCTTTGATTTTAGTTGCTCTTAATTTTATTTTATATCTTTTATATATTTGCTAGTGTAGCTCAGTATTTGATTTCTATCTTCACTGGCTCTCTGTTGGTTCATGCCATTCTCTTATTGTGTGTTTTCAGAAGGTCTGGCAGCGTTGGGAGGTCGATGGCGATGGGCAGGCGAAGGAACGAACGAGGGCCAGGCTGGTCGATATCAATTGTAGTTATTCCAATCTTCACTCTCACCTCTGATTCTGCCTCTGGAGCCCATCTCTCGAGACCATGCCTGAGTCTCAGCTTGAGCCTTTGCCCGAGCCTCAGCCTGAGCCTCAGTCTCTGCTCTCTGGAGCCTCAGCCCCCTTCGAGCTTACAGTCTTAGTTTATATAGCAATCACATAGGGTGGTGACACAAAGGTGGGTTGAACATTAACAAATCAGCAAAGAGAGGTAAAACCACTCCTCGAGGAGATTAACTCAAGGATTAAATCTCATCTAAAGACATTTATTCCAGATTACTAGGAGATCTGCTCAAGGGTGGGATCCCAACAAGGGTGTGTTCTTTCCTCAGCTAGTAATCTACTTAAATAGTTGTAGTAAGTCTACTTCTAATATTTCTAGCAATGTCATTCTGTATGAGCACAGTAAGAGATAAATTTACAGTTTGGTTCTTCCTGAGGACATCTCTATATATATATAGATATATATGGTTTTTTTTACAGTCCTCAGGCCAAGTTAGTTTTCCTAGCCCAGCAGGGTCCTAGTCTCGTCCTTACTTACTTTTGTATCATGACAGCATTTGTCCATGAACATGCCCTCAATTTATAGTTGAGTATCGTGGCACTTTGGCCTGGACCATTTCGTTGCCAGGTAGCTCACAGCTGGCCCTGGGTCCATTCAGTCCCTTGTCAGGACTCTGCTTTTGGGGTGCTAGGAACTAAGGGCAACTGAGTCAAGAAAGCAGATGCCCAGGAGTAAATATTCTTTGGAGTCAATCAACTCCCAAGTTATAAAGCATAATATTAACTGTCTTCCTGTGTCCATACAGAAAGAACATTGCTTTAAGGTAAACTATGCAAAGGATATAACTTACAATACAAGTTCAGTGTCCTTAGAAGGATCTGATCTTATAAGATAACAGAATATGATTAGGTAGAAAAGGTAATTAACTGGCTGGGGAGGAGAGTACAGAGAAGAGTTTACAGACAAACAGAGGAATGGGAGTGACTTGGGAGCACTGTGATGGGTGTAACCCGATAAACCTAAGCTCCCTGTGGCAATGTTTTTCTACATCTTATTTAAATGTTTGTGAAAGAAAATTGAGTTAAAACTCAATACTGTTCCTCTCCACGGAAATCTTTAGTAAAAGGCGAAAGATTTATACGATTTGAAGAGAAACCAGAGTTACTGAATGTAACCTGCCCACACGGCAGAGTCTGGCAAACTCCCCATGGTGTACCCAATATGCCAAACACCAGTAACAACAATGATTGGTCTCATTCTCCTAACCCTGAAAGAGCCTTGAATATGGCACTTTTTAAAAAATCTCAGGGCTAGGAGGAAGGAGACGTTACTGGGGTCTGCTCGAGGCAATTGACGAACATCAGGATGGTCGTGATCGTGATTGTCGTGAAAGAAAATGGAAAGTTGAGAATGATATATAAACACTTTGCATTGAGTATGCCATTTTATTATTTTATTTTGGGGAGAATGTTTAGGCCACTTCCAGTTGTGCTCAGAGCTTACTACTGGCTCTGTACTCAGGGATCGTTTTTGGTGGTGCTTGAAGTATCATCTGAGATGACAAGGACCAAACAAGGATTGACCATATGTCAGGGAAGAACTTTCCCCCTATACTACCTCTGGTCCGTAGCCTAATATTTTAGGTAATATTTATCCATTAAATAATTATTTGAGTTTTCTCTGACAGTCCATATAGAAAAATGTAGGAGGCTCAATTATTACAGAAAAAGAGGACATATAAAATGAGAACATGTCAAAATAAGGTGATAAGCAGTGTCTGTGCAGAAACAACAATAGCTGGAGTGAAGTGTTGATGATCAGCATATAGAGGCAGTGTAAAATTTAGTACCTCCTCCTGCCTTCCATTGTCTATGCCATGTAGTTAAATCACTCCATGATATTTAGAGAATAAAAACCGGCATAAATCCATAACTGAATGGACTAAACCATCTTTAGAGAAAATGAGTTATCATTAAAGAAGAGCAGAAACAGTGAGGCAGAAGGGGCATTTATGTTCACTCTCTCTAACTCTTGTTATCTTATGAAAAATCAGAAATGTTGAGGTTGAAACTGGATTTCCAGAGTGCCTGAAATGATGGTTTAAGTAACTTTATCTATGTATTTTAAAAAATTACCAGTGAACCTTAAAGTGCCAAAATTAATCTCCTTTACTAAAATTTAATTTGGCATATATTTTTGTATCTGGGAAGTAGACTGAAAGATCATTTTCCTGTGTTTTTCTTACTAAGGAGGATATATGTAAAGGTCACAAAAATTTTGTAATTCTCTTTTCCTGAATAAGTGTACATGTAACAGCTAACTAGGAGAGATCAGATCTTCATTACAATTTGACCGTCTGAGGGTTTATTTTAATTGAAATTTCTTTTGTTTGGGAAAAAAAAATGTAGTATAGAAAAGGGTTATAAACTCTTCAAGCTCAATGTATCTGAGTTCAGATTTCATCTACTTCAACCATGAGGCCATCTGAAAACATTGCTAAACCTATGTCTCACCACATCAATAAATAGACACTGAAATCATGTAATTTGTTTATTTGTTGTTAGACATACTTTTGGGTATATTTTCAGTTGTCATCAATCAGTGGCAACTATTACTGTTACGATTCAAGGTATTCTGCCTTAACTAAGTGAATTTACTTAGTATGATAAAAACTAAGTGAATTTACTTTAGATGATAAAGACTATAAGCTGAACATCCCCATACATCCAAAATGATTTTAGTCTTGAAAGATAACGTGGAGGGGAGAGTTCTGTGTGGCATGAAAGTACAATCAACTGTGAATAAAAAATGATGTACGTTCTTATGTTTTATATAGTACACCAAGTCTCTGATATCCCAAAGATTTTCTTTTTTCTGCATAGCAGTTATAAAGTCAGGATACACAGAAATACTAGCAGAAAAACGATCAGACACAAACTAAAATTGGAATACAAGATCGTTAAGATCCATCCTTGTTCTAAGACATGAATTTTATTTATATATCTGTTTTTTCATTGTGGGGCCACACCCAATGATGTTTAGTGTTTACTCCTGGCTCAGCACTCAGGGATCACTCCTGTAGAGTTGGGAATCATATGGGATGCTAGGGATCAAACTGGGTTGGCTATGTGCAAGGCGAGCTCCCTACCTGCTGTCCAATCGCTCCAGATCCTATTTATCTAATATTATTTTCAAAGACTGCAGACCTAAGAGCATAAAGCTTTAGAGACAACAGCCTACAGTTTTGAGATCTCTTTCTCAGCAGTTAGGAATATATGTTCTATGAGTCAAGATGACTCTAGGAATATAAATGCCTGCATAAGTGTATTGAATTTCCTTTCATTCCTCTTTCAAATAACAAGGGTCCCCATTGAACAGTTGTATAGGTGTTTTTAAACAATTCATCTCTATCTCATTTTAATTAAACATGCACTCTCCCTGGTCCCCACACTTGTAAAAATGTAGTTTGCAATTTGACAGAATGATATTATAGTATTGAGCAATATGTGAATTGGTTTAAAAGTAACCAGAGTTGAAGCATACATCAATCACTACAAGTGCAAATTCAGGTCACTAAAGCTGTCAATTTCAATCAGCTCTGTAATTAAATACATCACCAATATGGATTTTTTGTAAGAATGTCACTTGTTCTTCAGATGTCTGCTCTGAGGACAAATCACACTTCAGTATCTGTGCACAGGCATGCTGAATATAGTATTTTTAAACACAGAACATCTTCATCCATCTTTCTCTGATTCGTTAAGTAGAAATCCATTTACTAATGTGTAGTCTAAAAGCTATGTTTTTAAATATATATTTGAACTGCTTTCTATTTAATTAAAATGTTGCAATATCTCAGTTGGCATTTTAAACTCATCTTTCACACCTTTAGTGGTGTTTGTTATGAAATAAATAGATAATGAATAATAATCCTCTTTTAAAAGGCTGAACAATTTGTAATTATGGATAATTTGTAATTAGACTTTCTTTATTATGTGTTCAAAAAGCAGAAGATGCTCTTGGTTATGAAGAAATAAATTATTCATTTCGATTTCAGCATGAGAACAAAACTATTTCACATTTAGAAAAATCTTTTTTTTTAACGACTATAAAGTGTCATCTTCTTTCAGTCTACTTACCACTATGTAGGAAAAGACTGCAGCAAAGCCGTATTACCAAATATATATTGCCTGCCATTTGATTTAATCTTCAAATAAGCTCCAGGAAGCAGGTCCCTGGACAGTTAATCTTTAGTTTTGTAGCCCATGCACATTTTCAATAAGGTTACTGGGGAATTAGGCCCAGTAGGGAGAGGAAAAGCATATTGTCTTATTCCACAGGCAGCTGTTGTGAGCCCTGTTAGCAAATTATAACTTCCTTAATTATGAAATACCAAATTAGTAGAATATCATCACACATCGGTGCTCGTCAAAGAAAGCCATTATAAATCTTTAGCATAGAGTTCCAACAATTTGTTTTAAAGTTCTCTCTGCTAACACACATTCCCATATAATGTTTCTCATCGCAAGTTACCATCAAAAGCGAAGTCCAATTATGCAACTTGAGAACATTAAAGAACAGCCACAAATAGTTAGGGCTTTAATAAAGATAAAGATCAAAATAAAACACTTGAGGAAAGGTGTGATATAAACAAAAAGTGATAGTAACTGTTCATTTTCTATTGTACTGCTGTCCTCATTAAAAATATATGCATGCCCAATTTTAAGCATCTTTTAGATTATTTAAACAAGGGCATCAAAAAATCTGAACTATTTGATCAACTAGAAAACATGAATCATTTGGAAAAAAATCATAAAAATGTAATATCACTCTGAGTGCCATCCAGAAAAAAATTAAATACTTAGAGGAACATAAAGAAAAGGGACATTAACCACAAGTTGCTGACTTGAGGATTTTGGGGTTTTGTTTTTCTTTGTGGTCAGCAGTAGCATGCAATAACTCAGGAGCAATTTTCAGTGAATTATTGTACCTACTCAATTTATTTTGGAGTGAACTTTATAAAGGCCTCACTTATATAAACCTTAAACGGCGTGAGCATACTCTCATTTCAATTTAGTTTCTCAGATCTCCATGTTTAGCTTTATTCATCGCACTTGAAATGCATAAGTAGCAAGCAAGGAATCATCCTTTCCACACCAAACACTAAATAAATAGAAGAAAAAGATGAAATTGAGTTTTTAAAAATGAAAAAGATGTAACTGATCTAATTTGCATTGGCTTTCTGGAGATAGGTGGCTGGCTGGCTCTGAGAACGTTTTTAACTTCCTCTGAAACTAAAATACCGAACTAAGTGGGTGTGTTCCCACTTCCTGGAAGCTCCTGCGAATTGTCAGTAAGTGACCAGATAAGCAATTCCAGCACCATGACTGCTCTTCAATCATTTGAACAATGACCTCAAGCCCCCATGTCACATTTCTAAATATCAAATGCAACAGTGCTCATCTCCTACTGAACACATGACAGATTCCAACTCAATAGGAAAATTATCTTGTGCCAAGTTCTCAACTGCAAATTCTGCTTTTCCAAACCAACTTAACTTTGTCTAGTACAGAATTGAATTTTCCTGCATCCGTTTGGCATCACCTTCTCTGTAACGTACCACAGCTCTCCTTTATCTATCTCACTTTCTTCTGCCCCGGCTCCTTCCTCTTCACCGATTCTTCCCCTTCTACTTATACAGAGTCATAAGTTTCTTCCCAACCTCCTCTTAGCCCTAGTTAAATGCCTCCTCCTTTTCTAATCGAGGCACCAGAGTTCCTAATTCAATTGATCTTTATTTAACATAGGTTTGACCTAGTTGGATCAAACTACATGTGATAGAGAGAAAATATCTTGCCCCCTAATTATCACTGACTCGAAGCACAAGAAGTTGATTCATGTCTGCCTAGATGGGAATGGCACAACAGTAACATTTTTCAAAGCAGAGAGATTAGAATATATACATATATGTATGTGTGCATGCGTGTGGGAGTGCACGTGTGCACCACACACACACACACACTAAACACCTTGTTAGGTGTATCTCTTTCATCCATGTGCTCCATATTCACATATTTAACCCACTGTGGATGTTGGTTGGAACCCACTGTTCTGAGGGTAGTTCATAAGATGTTTGAGCCTTCACAGGTTTTACATCCATCCCT